AAGGACCCGAGATGCTAGAGGGGCTTCAGAGCCCCGGACCTAGGAATCTGCATCTCTTCCTCCCCATGGCGTGGGGAGACACTGACTCACAGAGCAGGAGGTGAAGTCCAATTCTTCTGTCTTTTTAGGTATTAGGAAATAATGTAAATACATGAGTGGTTTAGGAGTAGACAAGCAGAGAAATTGTGAGCATGTATACTTTTGTAGCTCACAGTAACCCTCAAGCACAATTAACATCTCCATAACCCGTGTTGCTGTATAACACAGTCCTATAGAAAGAATAAAAAAACTTACCTCATTATGAATAAAATGTACTCAAGTGATAAAGTTTTATTTTCTGAATTACTTTTAGCATTACTGCTGATTAGGGAAACGTTGCTTTTTTAAAAAATCCTAAGAAAAATAAAGTTTATTTCCTTGAAAATATGTAAATATTTTCAGGATATAGTTGTAATTAGTAAAACAAAAACTAATCTTATGATCCCACCCTTCCATGTCAGTTGAAATATTTTTGAAAATTCCACTTATTAACAGTGTTCTGTATTATTTAGTTTAGTAATCATTTTATGGGAATATTAGTGGGAAGATGCTAGTGACCTGGAATCAGCCTTACCCCCCCGGAACCTCTTGCTTCACCTAACTTAGTATGACTGTAGGCTTCACCAATTTAATCCATGTGATTCAATTTTGCTGTATTGAAAAAGTAACATATCTTAAGCTTGGATCATAGAAGAATCAATGATTTTATATATATACAAATTTAAATTGGGAGGAGGCCTTACAATACACATTAGAACTTTTTTAAATTAAAAATCTTTAATAGGATATGTGTTTTGAAAGATAAAATGTTTTAGAAAAATAGCTCAATAGGCTCAGTAATTTTTTAAAACGCTCCTGTTCTGAATGGGAGAATATAGGAATATAAAGAGCAGCTACACTCAAAGTCTAAGATCCCATTAGACAGACCAAGAAAAAGAAACTTATACTCTGAATGAGAAGATGCTACTAACAGACATTTGCTTAATCTTTTAAAGTAACAGGTAAATCTACAAATGATAAGACTATCAGTTAATCAGGCTTTTTGCCTCATTTTCTCAAATTCTGCAAAAACAGTTTAAAATTATTTTGCAAATTTATAGACAGAATTCCTGAATAAATTTGAGGATCTGACAGTTAAGTGAGAAACATCTTTAGAAGCACAATAAAGCTACATCTAAGCAATAATTAAAGGGAAATCAATGTGATCACTTACTGAACTTCCTTTATCTTGACCTAAAGATACTATACCCACAAATTTTTGGTAAATCCCTTAGAGTCACTAACCAAAAATGAAAAATTCTAGTCTTGTATATCACAGGCTCAGGGTGATTGGTTAAGGCAGTATCCCCTCTAGAGAGACCGTGTAGCTTCAGTGTAAACATGCGCAAGGGAGAGTCAGAGGAAAAGGTGAGTTCAACTGCAAAGTACGTTGTATTGCTGTACGGATTTTATTTGGTATTTCTCTGTTATCTGCTCCCTGGGCTTTTATTTGTTGGGAGGTTACTTCTGTACCCCTTTCTTTTCTTTTAAAATTACTTTCTTTTGCCATTTTGGTCTTCTGCTTGTTTTTCTAGTCGTGCTCTACCTAGGTAATAAAATGAATGACAGGAAAGTCACCCATATTTAGGTTTAGGATACATCTTTTGCAGATTACTTTTTGTTCTATACAGATTTAAGGTCATATTTTTTTAAAATTAATAATGGGCAGGTCTCTTGGAACAGTTAACTGGATTGATCTATTCTGTCCCCAAATCAAATTATATTATATACCTTTTGTAATAGATGGTTGCAGAAGTTTTCTGGCCTTTGAGTAACATTAGTTACGGAGTCTTTGTTTGCAATTATGGATGCACCCAGCTCTTAGGAAAAGCACTCTTTGAAAAATAATTAACTGAATACTCTTTCAGAAAATAACATGTCTCATTGCTCATATTTCCATAAATACAAAGGCTACCCTCAAAAGCTTTGGTCTACCAAGTACTTGATGGAGCTTATATATACATGGCTTATAGCATAGAAGTTCTTATAAATGATTTGTATCCACATTCAACATTTTTTTTAATCGGTGAATGTTTTATTTGCTTTTGAAAAATTATTATGAAGTTAATTAAAAATTAATCCTATGGTACTATTTTTCATGTAGAAAACTAATAATGTAGTTAAATATACTGTTTAAGTAAAACTATATTAAATGACAGGTTTTCCTAAACCCTGAACATACCAAATTATATTGGAAATTGATAGGAAATGTTGCAAAATTCAATTATTGAAATTAAGGTGATTATTTTCAGTGAGAATTAATTTTGTAAATAGAGTGAAAATATATAAAAGATGTTTCTGAGCCTAAGGAGTTTTTTTTTCCTTTGCTTCTATTTAATTTGGCACTGCCATGCATCATATTAATTTTATGAACGCAAGTGACAACATTTTAAAAATATATTTAAATTTCTCTACTTTTAGGAGTTTCCAGAATCTGTGCTCAAACAAAAGAAATAGTAAGTTAGCTACATTTCACTGGTTTCATTTAATGGACATTTGGATGGTTAAGGGTAGAAAATGAGGCTAAAGCCTTGCTATTTAATATATCATGACCACATATAACGGATGGAATATTATAGCAATACAATCATTGTATTGAAAAAATGGTTTTGGTTCACTGTTGTTCCAAAGATGGACTGCATATAATTTGGTATGGTGTGACTAGACATATCTTGTAATGCATTTGAGTTATATCTTCTTCCTTTTATTGCCAGCTTATGATGATGATGAAATTCTCCAAAGGGATGAGATAGATGAAATCATCTTTTAAAAAAAAATGGTTGGGGGAGAGGTATTACAATCTAGTGCTAAACTGTCCAGTAGCTTTACGTAAAGGCTTTGATTTCCATAATTGACCATTTGATAAATATTTAAATTACACAGACTGATGCCTGCATAGATTAAAATTTAAGTATGCAAGAGCCTTAAAGTGAAAAAAAAATAAAAGAACCTTCTGACTGCCTTAAACTGTGACTAGCTATCCAACACAGACATACTAGTACTTTGCATAGGGTCTGTTCATTAAGTAATGCCTTAATACTGTCAGTGTTTCTGAAGTATAGAATAACTCAAAGGGTCTTTTTACAGCTTTCACTTTTACATAAAGAATGGAAACTTAGCTCTAAGTTTTAAAACCTGATTTTACATTAGTCATTTAAGCACCATTAACAAGATAATCTAGGTACACTGATGTGTTACACATACATGACTGTTAACATCAGTAATATTTCTTGGTAGTTTAAAGTTTTTTACTGTTCTGTATAACAAATTTAAACACTATGAATGAAAAATTCAGCTGTACAGTTCCAAAAATGGAATAATTTTTTAAGGGAATTTTTCAAGATAAAAGGCAAATATTTTGTTTCAAGCCTGCCAGCAGATTCATTCAAGAAGTGAATATAGTTGTAAAACATTGAGACTGTTGCAATAAGTATCCAGGCCAGTGATGTTTCATTACATTCACGGTCTTAACATTCACTTTGCCTTTCAGAGCAGGAATATTTTATAAAACTGAAGAGAAAACTTTAAATTGTCAAGCTGGTGCTTAAAAGTACATAAATTTGATTTATAAAAAGTTTCATTTCAAAGGGAAAGAACCCTAAAAGGAGGGGTGGGGGGGGGTTTCCTAGATCTGTTGGTAAACTCACTGATGCTTTGTTGAGTCTTCCAAGTTTTCATTGTAAATAACATATCTAACAATGCAATTTTGCTCTTTTCTGATAGAAAATGGATGAAATACTAATGTATGAAATTTATTTCATGACAAACAGTTTTCACTGATACTGTGAAATCTGGACTCTTTTCTAGCCCTGCAAAATCCCAAACTGAATAAATCATTTTAGATGTGGAGTGCAGGACTGTTTTGGGTCACTTGTGTTGTTGTAGAAATTGATAGGTGTACCAAATAAACTATTTACATCAATAATTGTGTTTTTATTTCTTTAAAGAAGAACTTTAAGTTTATTATATGCTTTATAAATTGTAAGGCTCTTAGAAATCTGTTTTATTATTTGAATAAGATGAAATTAAGGTTTGATCATTAATACTGGTCTTAAAATGCCTCTTATTGTGTATAACTATTATTTATTTAAAATATGTGGTTAGGAATTCTTTTCCAATGAATTTTAATTATAAGATCAAAACAACTGGATTTAATAAAAATACATGTTCTTAAAGGGCTTTAAAACAGGATTCTTTTGGGGAAAAAAATTATTCAGAGTTGCCTTTGGGAAAAGTTAACACCAAAAGTGTTATGCAAATAAAAATATTTTAAGTGCCAATTTGCAGGAATTTCTTTTCTCTGAATTCCCATAAAACTTCCATATTAAATGTTCTGAGCTCTGAGCTGTGGGTTATGAAGAAGAGTGAGAGTTATGAAGAGAGTAAGTTACATCAGAATATACTCACCAAAGCTTGGAACATCTGGTCGATTTTATAGTTCTCCACTTAAAGGTGACAGCAATTGTATGGAGAGAGGAGGACCACAAAGGACAGCTGGCCCTTGAACAACGGGCTTAAGCTGTGCAGGTCCACTTATATGTGGGTATTTTTCAGGAGTAAATACTACCAAGCTACCTGGTCTGCAGTTGGTTGACTCAGGTTGCAGAACCTTGGATACAGAAGACTGACAATAAATTATTACTCAGATTTTCGAGGTGAGGGTCAGCCCCAACCCGTGTTGTTCAAGGGATCAACTATACGTTTCCTCATAAATGACAAAAACTAAACTTAAAAAATTTTATTTTAAACCTTATCAAGAAAACTTGCCTTTAAAAAATACCATTCACATAGCAGTTAAAAAATTAGTAAATAATAAAATATAATGACCCCTTTTTTTTCTAAATAGCTTTTCAGCTTCCCATTAAGATAGTCTGGCAGTTCGTGTGTTGATTAGTAATGAGGAAACAAATGGCCCTTTTTAAAAAATATTAAACTTTATTTTTCAGATATTAACATTAAAAATAAAATAGAAGACCGAAAAAAAAAGGTATCATTAGTTTTTCTTAACCTGGTCACTATTTTCTTTCTAACCTGAGGTTCTGGAAAGAAAGCAGAGCTGCTGAAAGCACCAATACCTAATTTTGCCTTGGATTTCTACTAGACTTTTATCCGGTTGTAATGGTGTTAGGGCTGAATGTGTTTCCCCCAAATTTGTATGTTGAAACCCAGTCCCCAGTGTGACGGTATTTGACGTTGGGGCCTTTGGGAGGTGATGAGGTCTTGAGGGTGGAGGCCTCACGATGAATTGGTGCCTGTACAGTAAGAGGTGAGAGCTCACGTTCTCCCCACCCTCTGCAGTGTAAAGACACAGCAAGGAGGTGGCCATCTGCCAACCAGGAAGGGGGCCTTCACCAAGAACCAAATTAGTCTGCTCCTTGATCTTGGACTTTCCAGCCTCCAGAAACATAAGAAAGAAATGTCTAAACCTTCCAGTTTGGAAATTCATTATAGCAGCTTGAGCTAAGACATACAGGAAGAGAGAAGAAATGAAAATTCCCCTAAAATCTTAGCTAGGCTCTTGGAAAACCCTGATGGGTCCGCAAGAAACCCAACATATTTCTGAGCCAGTGTTACTATAATGGCCATCACACACTGTCTACTCTCAATACTAGGCACCATGCTGTGTGATTTACACTATTTCCATTTCTCAAAATAAATACTAAAAGAAGATGGCATTATGGGTATTTTATAAAAAGGAACTTCCAGTTCCAAGAGGGTTCACCTACCTCCTGATACACTTACTGTGATTAACGATTTGAACACTTCTCTGTCTTGATCTAATACGTATACTCACTGTAAGTACCAATTAGGACTTCTTCCACTGAGGATTTGTTATGGTCCCCCATCCAAAGCTCTTCGTTAACCCCAAGCTTTGTAACAAATCCCTGTGTAACCAGTTAAAATAAAGCTCTTGGTCACCCAGGATTGGCCTGTCAGCAGGGCAGCTGCTCAGCCCCACGACTGCCCCCTCAGTGTCATTTTTAATGCCACTCTCAAGTCCAGGTTGTCACCTGTGCTTCTGATTCCAACAACCTCCTCCTTGGGTTTGATTAATTTGCAAGAGCAGCTCCCAGAACTCAGAAACACTTTACCTTCTAGATTATCTGTTTGTTATAAAAGGATGTAACTCAAGAACAGCCAGTTGTGAGAGATGTAGAGCAAGGTACGGAGAAAGGGCAGAGAGCTTCTGTGCCCTCTCTGGGCATGTCATTCTCCCTGAATCTAGCGTTCACAACCAAGAGCTTCACAAATCCGTTCCTTTGGATTGTTAAAGAGGTTTCACTACATAGGCATTATTGATTAAATTACTGGCCACGGGTGACCCAACTCAATCTCCAGCCCTTCACCCCAACCCACAGGGTGGGGATCGGGCTGAAATTTCCAACCCTCTAATCACAAGGCTGGTTCCCGTGGCAACCAGTCCCTATCGTTAGGGGCTTTCTGAAAGTAGGCTTATTAACATAACAAAGGAGACTACCAGCTGTCCTCACAGGAAATTCCAGAGGTTTCAGCTGCGTGCCAGGAATGGTATGAAGATCGAATACATATTTCTTAATATAAATCACACTATCACATAAAGTAACAGATTTCCTCTACTCTCTAATATAGTTTACAACAGCAAATACGTAAGAATTTCTCATGACATGATGCAAATTAAAGGCCTAAAGGAATGATTCCAGCTCTGTTCCATTCAAGTGTTAAAATTTAAATTATCTCATCAGAATGAAATAGTCCAAATTCTTGCTTTATCAAGGTCTAATGACAATTTAATAGAATATTTAGGAAACATAATTGATGGCAAATGGCAAAAAAATAAGACACCAGCTGTCTTCCACAGGTCTACCCCAGATTCCCTGGTCCATCTTGACCAGAAAGCAGAAGCACGCCACTTCTCTTAAAATCCATTTTCCTCCCACCTCCAAGGAAGAGTTTTCTCTTCCCAGCATCTGCCCCATGTGACTCTGTGGACTCAGCCAGAAAAAAGCTCCTTAGGCACTTAAATTCTTGTTGATAGGAAAAGCAGAACTCTCCACGTCACACTCAAGCACGGTTCTGGACTGTTTCAGAAGTTCATCCTCACAATGCTGAAATCTTCCTCCTTTTAATTTCTGCCCAGAGGTACAGTTTTGTTCTCTACTAAATCATTAAATGAATAATCTGATTTCTCTGAAACCAATTTCACTCCAGCCCACAAATTTAATTTACTTCTCTTACTCTAGAGGCACAAGTGTGACGGCTCATCACAATATAGTACAAGGATATCCCCACCGAGTTCACAACTGTATCAGAGCCTTACACTTCAAAGAGAACTCACACACCAGAGCTCACCACTAAAAGCTCTAAGAGGCAAGGCATTAACACCTTCTGAATACTACACAGAATAAAGAATCCCAAATGCTTACCTTCTAGCTCTTGGCTGAAAAATTCATACAGACATTCCTAATAAAATACATTCTTTCCTGATCTTTTTTTTTTTTTAACTGAAGTATAGTCAATTTACAATGTGTCCATTTCTGGTGTACAGCATAAAGTTTCAAATTTCCCGATCTTTCGATACAACTCCACTCCTTCAGTTTTAAATACCATCCCTTTTTGCTGAAGAAGTGGCAAGCAGGAAGATGAAATTTCCACAATGATTTATTGTTTGTTATTTTTCCCGCTTTTTCATGAAGATAATCCATATACGTGAAACACCCTCGAGTATTTAAAAGGCGTTATCACTTTAAATAGCTGACAGTTCATGAGCAAAGTTAGGGGCACCTCCATCACTAAAATTCTTCCCTCTTCTTTTTTTTTAAATAACACTGGTGAACTAGTGGAAGCAATTTTCCTTCTCTGTGAAGCCTGTGGGTGTCAGTTGCACCTCCAATAAAAGTTCCATTGACAAATATTCTTGGCACCTGTTGGATAAACAAAAGATTAGACGTCACCCGAGTGACGGAAGTTGAAGACCACTCACAGGATACTAACAGCAGCTTACACTGTGGGTACTTTTATGTGCCAAGTGCCGTACAAAGATCTTTGACTAATTACCTATTTAAACTTTACAACCCTTAAGGTGAATACTATTTTCAGCCTTATTTTGTGGGAAAACGAGACACAGGAACTTGCGTGAGGTCACAGTAAGAGTAAATGACAGAGCTGGGATGTCAATCCAGGACAATGTGACTCTCAAGCCCTTCCTCCAAACCTCTGCGGCATATGAAAGGCAAAATACAGCAGTCGCCAATTATTAATAGTGGTTGTTTCTTACCGTTGTTTACTAAAGGGGGCGAGGACACTGTAAACTCCTCCCACACACAGATAAATGAGTTAAATGGCATCGTTGTCTATTTTCCTGAAAATGTGTATTATGGGAAAATCTACACGTTTCAAGAATCTAAAAACGTGGAGCACGAAACCATGCCTGTTAACACAGAAAACGAAGGCTAACCTCTTGCCTGCACTGTTCAAGGGAGGAAGGATACTGTCATCTCAAGAAAGTTCCAGGAAGACCTTAAAGTTCAAAGATTCATAGACAAGCACTACTCACTGTGACAACACCATGACCCCACCCACCACACACACACACACACACACACACACACACACACACACGGCAAGGGTAAATATAAACCGAGTGGACACTGCTGTTCCCTAGTCTATGAAATGAACCTGGTTCCTGGATCTAGATTCTCAGAGCACATCTGGCTCACTCCTAACACAAGGGCACAGGCCCGAGAGACCCCGCTTACCACAGCCCATCACTCACTGTTCTTTCCCCGGTCATTCTGTACAGAGCATCCTGAAACTGGCTTCCATATTCAAGCATGTCCAGCTCCACCACTTTGTAGTTAACATTCATGTCATGGAAAAGTTTCTTTGCCATGGTACAGTAAGAACACGATGTTTTCGAGAAAATCACCACACAGTTATCAGAAATGGTTTCCTGAAGTAAAACAAACCAGAACAACAACAACAACAATCATTTTAACTCTAGGCATTACCTTTCAGAAAGAAATCACAATACAGTCGAGAGGGTATGGATTTTGGAGTCTCACAATTCAGGGCTCCAACCCAGTTTCCATCGTCTGTTTTCTCTCCCCCGTGGATGGAGGACAATACTATTTATTTCAAAGGAACATGGTTAGAAAAAAAGGATGGCACAGATGGAAAGTGCTGGCACTGAGTAAGGACACCAGTAATCACAGCCAGTTCACACACGGCCAACACGTCTGTGTGCGGACACAATTCTCCACGTCACCACCACCAGCTCACTGAAACCTCACCCTGGTCCTGACATAGGTCCTTTCATCAGCTCCATCTTACAGATGAGGGAAGTGAGGCACAGAGGAGTGAAAATAACTCATGGTCTCCAGCTGGTAAGTGGGAGAGCTGGGACTTGAACCCAGGCAAGTCGGATCCTACAGCCCAGGTATTTGATCTCTGTTAGACTGCTTCTCGAACATTCAGTAGGGTGTTTAGGAGTTAACTCCTTACCTTTCTTAACTTTCTTCCTTTCTTAATTTGTTATTTTTTTACCACCTTAACCTTTGCTTTTTTAAAAAAAATTGACTATAACTGACTTACACTATTATGTTAGTCTTAGGTGTACAGCACAGTGATTTGCTATTGTTATACATTACAAAATGACTTCCTTAACTTTCAGGGGTGAGAACTGATAAATGATTTCTCTTTAAAATGTAAGGCCTTCACTGATCCAGGTATAAATAACAGCCTACCCCTCTACTTCCATTCCTTTCCGAGTATTTTCATAGCAAAAAAAAAAAGTCATTACTGTTTTGCTAAGGTATTATTATAGTGTGTTCCTGGAAAAGCTACTTCCAGAAATGCTGGTTCAGCAGGTTTAAGGCAGGGGTCAGAAACTAGTTTTGAAAAACCTTCCCGGATGATTCTAATGACATCAGCCTGGTTTGGAAACAACCCTCCAGGCCTTTATCACAAAGATGGTGAGGCTTGGTTATGCATCTATGTCACCTGTGAAATTTGTTTTGTTCTGTGTTCCTAAATATATCAAAGTCCAGGTCCTTCAAGAGATTCTGAATGGATAGGTCCGGCAACCGGGTACCTGCCTCGGTTGTCTTATGTGGGTCATAAGCAGCACCTTCAAGATGAAGGCCAAAAATCAGCAAGCCGACCACCCAGGCACAGTGACTGATTCAAAAATCAGCAAGTCGAGCACCTAGATAAAGTTATACCTGCTCTTGGGTATGAAAAGGGCGCTAAGGCAGTGGTAGCTGTCTGTAAGTTGGTCTATTTTTTACGCTTTCTCTTCTGCTCACTCATTAATAGTTAGTACAGAAGTCTCTCTCAGGGAGAGCCAGACACACCTGAGATGCACTAATGCATCTATTTTTCAGAGGAGAAAACTGAGCTTAAGAAGTACACAATACCGGGATTCCATCCAACCTGCCCCGACACCAAGGCCGGGGCTCTCTCCTCACTGTGTTGCCCCAAGTGACAGACACCCCGAGACCCTACTTTAGAGAGAGATGAGCACCCTGTGGTAGGTACGCAGTACAAACACCAATGAACAGGTTCCAAAGTGAGCTGAAACTCAAGATGACCGTGTACAACTTTCTCAAACCTCCCTTTTCACCTTTTCCCAACCCCATCCTTGCTACGTGTTTCATAGTTTTGTGCTCTAGTTTCAAAAGAGGCAATGCCCTCACTAGTGCCCAGCAGCACTCTCACATCCCATGGCTGCGAGGGAACATTTCTGCAGCCAAAGGCAGGAGTGGCATGTGGGTAATGGTGTTTGGTGGTAGGCAACAGAGAAGTACGTCCTGCAGGCTGCGAGGGAAGAAAAACCTACACACGAGAGGAATTTTCTGAGGCAGAAGTAACTGGGCTTTGCAGTGAAAGCAGGAGGAAGACAACAGAACACACACAGCACCCTGAGAGGGTCGTTCATGGAGACAGGAATCCACAGTAGACCTGAGGTGGGTGTGATGGAAAAGGCAGCCAATCTCACAGACCCAATGACGAGGGAGTGAAGACACCGTTAAGACTAAATCTCGGTTGACACAACATTGTAAACGGACTATAACTCAAAAAAAAAAAAAAAAAAAAAGGAATAAATCTCAGAAGGTGGAAAAGGATATCTGTGATTTGCAGATACTAACTGCTATATAAACAGATAAACAAGTTTCTTTCTGTACAGCACAGGGAACTATATTCAATATCTTGTAGTAACCTATAATGAAAAAGAACATGAAAACAAATATATGTATATATATGCATGACTGAAACATGAGGCTGTACACCAGAAATTGACACATTGTAAACTGACTATACTTCAATTAAAAAAAAAATCTCATAAATTCTGACTCACAAAATGATCTAGAACTTCTTTGTCACATGCATTATTTTGAGAACAGATTTTTAAGTATATAATCAATTTAGTAATCTAGTTGCTGGACTATGTCAAGTGTGGACGCTGATTAAGCATATTAAATATGTAAAAAGATGACTTTTCCCCAGAGGAGAAGCTTTTAGCTACATGTCCCACATCACTCACTTGGATCTGAGTCACGGGAGCCACTGCCGCATCTCCCAAAGAAGATGATGCGCTGTTCCCCATCCTAAAAGGAATTTTAAAAGGCAGGGTGGTTTATTAAACATTAATAATAGTATTTCAGATGAGATCCATTTGAAGAAAACTCGATATGCAAATATATATACAAAGTTATGAAAGAGAAAAAATTTGCATTTATTATCAGTACAAAGCATCAGTTTATGAAGTGTGTTTACTGATATCAAAAGGGCTTGTGCTTCTCTAACCAGCCAGCCTCCCAATGAGCGTGATTATTTGTTAAACCACATTTACCGTGCTTTGAACCTGCCACACTCTTACTTCTAAACCAAGTTTCAATCAGATTATCCTCATGATTGGCCCTATGATTCGACTGTTAGTTTAAAAACATAGCTTCCATTTTCTTAGTAAAATATGCCAAAACTCCATGAACATGCTGAGAAACGAGAAATATTCAAAGATTTTAAGGAAACTAAGGTATCTCAACCACAACAATCCATAGCTCCAATTTCCCAATCTGTAAAATGGGAACAATAATCACTTCCACCTCAGTGTTTTGTGAAAATTAAAGGAACTGATGTTCAGAAAGTAGAACAGTGCCTTGACCAGAGTAAATGTCTGACATTATTACTTTTATTTCCTGACTATGAAGACACTCATTATTTCGGTATTTATTACCCTAAACCGAGCTGTTGGGAGCTGCTGGAGCCTTGAACAGGCATTCATTCAGTGCAATGGGAAAACATGGATGAAAATATTGACCAGTTTAGTATCATCAAATCCCTAGAACGTTCCCCATCCACTACATCTTTCTTGATCAGTCAGAGCCTACTGATGGTTGGAACTATATCAAATACCATGATGCAAACTAACTGCAGAGTGAAATTATAAATCTAGCAAAAGGATTAAGAAATAATAAAAGTTTCAAAAGGAAATTGCTAAGGATTAAGAGAGCAAGGTAAAGAATTGAACCTTCAACTATTTCAAAAAATATTCTTTATGATTATGCTGCAAAACTCAAGTTTTGATAGAAAAAAAGTCTCTCCCTCCAAATCAACATTTCATTCATTCATGGTGAGTGCTCTTAAAATTCAAATGCTGTTAAATATAAAAATCAGCCACTTTTTACGTTGTTTCATTTTTTTCAAAGATATCAATCAAGACTTATTCTATTCTTTAGTATTGTTTTAAAAAGCCCACTTTAAATCGCTTTTTACAATCCTTGGATCAGGAACATGTGTTCTACAGAGCTACAATTGCACACCTAGTAATAAGAAAGGAGGAGAGTGGAGGGTGCAGCTTTAAGAAAAGAGTCAGCTGAGTACCTAGGATCTAAACCAGAAAAGAAAAAGGAGCTTCAGGGGCTGGATCTAAGTAGGAGCTCTGATGGAGTAAGTCAGCAGTCTGTTTGTTTTATCAACTAAGAAAACAAATCCTTTTCATCTCAGTCCAGCATTTAATTATCATCCCCAAACCCTCTGAGATTTGCATCCACTCTGCTTATACTACAGAAGCAGGAGTTCCAGTACAACTTGGTAAGAGAATGTTTTCTTGGTAACTGAGAGGAGGTGGGAAGTGCATTTTGAAATATCAGGGTCTTCCAAATTAAAGAGGAAGTTTCTGGAAGGCACTTTTCTCCAATTCTAGTTGAGCTTGGAAAAAGGTTGCTGCCTGTTAAAGAAAGGGACATCAAACAGAAGCAAATGTACAATAAACGTTTCACTTCTATACTGGTAAGTCCCCACTGGCCAGGCCACATTTACGGAGCACCTACTATGTAATGCCCCAGGGATACACATCACTGGAGAAACACAAAGGAGCCTCAAGGGCCTGTCAAATAGTTACTCTACGGGACTGGCACCTTTTGGAGGGGTTCTCTAGTTTAGCAGAAAATTACTTTAGAGTTCCTGCAGTCTTGCAAAACTGGTGGGAATTATCAGATTAAGAAGGAAAGAAGAGACTCCCAGACAGGGAGATGGACGGATAGATATGCAAGCTGGAAGGACAGCCCGGACCGGCCGCTCGGCGGAAAGGGAATCAGCCTAGGCAGTGGGTCTCCCACCGCAGGCCTGGAACAGCGGGTATTTCAGGCCGGGAAGCGCTGGAAAAGCACCATCCCCGCTCTGGCCACAGGCGACGTCAACAAGAATAAGATACCACCGTATCCTCAAAGGCTTGGCCATTTAGTAGAAAGCGCCACTTCCACTTCCTGCCGTACTGTTGCCAGGTTTAGCAACTGAAAATGCAGACCGCTCTGCTAAACTAGAATTTCAGACAGTGAATTACCCTAAGTATGTCCCATGCAATATTTGGGATATACTCAGACCAAACCATTATTCGCTGTTTATCTGAAATCCCAATCTATTAGGGCATCTTTTATTTTATCTGGCAACCGAGGGGGAGGGGAAGTCCAAGCGAACAGAACTCAGACATTTGTGACCTAAGAGTCACATGAGCCTTAAGTCTACACGAGCGCTTAGGGCACCACTCCTTCCCCATCCTTCCTGCCTCCCGCCCTCAGAGGGCCCTCGAGGTGACCCAGGGCCCACCCGCGCGGAGAAGAGGCGCCCCCACCCACCGGCCAGATCCCCGCAAGGCCTTCGCGCCACGCCCAGCCAGTCCTGCCCATTGGGCCCCCCTACCCAGATGCCGACGCTCCCGCTGTACCGCCGAGCCGGCAGGCCGAGCTGCTCCCGCCCCGGACAAACCACGTCCCCGCCAGGGCCGCGCGTCGCCAGTACATGGTCGTAGCGCTGGGCCGCAGCGAGCGGACGCACG